GAATGGATAATGAAGATGTGGCACATATATACAATGGAATATTACTCAGCCATCAAAAGAAACGAAATTGAGTTATTTGTAGTGAGGTGGATGGACCTAGAGTCTGTCATACAGAGTGAAGTCAGTCAGAAAGAGAAAAACAAATACTGTATGCTAACGCATATATACGCAATTTAAAAAAAAAGGTACTGATGAACGTAGTTGCAGGGCAGGAATAAAGAGGTAGACACAGAAAATGGACTTGAGGACATGGGGTTGGAGGGTGAAGCTGGGGCAAAGTTAGAGTAGCATCAACATATATACACTACTGAATGTAAAATAACTGGCTGGTGAGAAGCAGCAGCATAGCACAGGGAGACTGGCTCAGTGCTTTGAGATGACATAGAAGGGTAGGATAGGGAGGATGGGAGGAAGGCTAAAGAGCGAGGGGATAGGGGGACACGTGTATGCATATGGCTGACACGCTTTGTTGTGCAACAGAAACTAACACAGTATTGTGAAGCAATTATACTTCAATAAAGATCAAGGAAAAAAAGAAAGAAATAGGTTATGTGAACTCACTGTAGATCTATTTCTGTTGGTTTTCATTTGTAGTCCTTTTTTCCTCACATACTTGGTTAACTTTGTTTACTGTTTACTGTCCTTGAATTTTTTGAAAACTAGCCTGAAGATTTCTTCCTCCAAAGAGAATCTGCATGTTTTCTAGGCCCCTGCAGTCCCAAGTACTTTCACTAATTTCACAGTCTGATGTGAATTTGGCCGCAAATTACATTTGTTTCTGGTCACCTTATTCTAAGGATACAGCCCTTTAAGGTGCCTATTTTACGTAAGAAGGGTCACCTATGTAGGACGGGACTCCTTAAACAGTGGTCTCTGATTCCTGTTCTCTTGTGCCTCATGATGGGACTTAAAATTGAAGTTCAAGTTTGCATAAATGAACAACATGCCTTCAGGACAGAACTAGCATCCCTACTATCCCTTAAATTTTGACCTGGCAATTCCTTCTGATCTTTAAGCTCTTTTGATGCTTTTAGGATATTAATAATTTATCTAGTATAGTCAATTGTCCTCAATCAATGGGGATGGTCTCAATAACCTTGCCTACCAGCTCTAGAAAATAAAACTCCCTCTTCCATTATAAGACCTTTTAATGGACATGATGGCTAAATTTTATATTTTTGCATCTATTAACAAAACATTCTCCCTTTAGAGTGTTGATGAAATCTATTACCTTAAAAGATTTCCTGGGCTTCCCTGGTGGCACAGTGGTTAAGAATCCATCTGCCAATGCAGCGGACACAGGTTTGAGCACCGGTCTGAAAAGATCCCACCTAACATGGGGCAACTAAGCCTGCCACAACTACTGAGCCTGCGCTCTAGAGCCTGCGCTCCACAACAAGAGAAGCCACCGCAACGAGAAGCCCACGCACGGCAACAAAGAGTAGCCCCTGCTTGCCGCAACTAGAGAAAGCCTGCGCACAGCAACGAAGACCCAACGCAGCACCAACGCAGCCCAAAACAAAAACAAACTAAAAAAAAGTTTTCCTAATGTTGGAACTTATCCTGCATTGCCAGGATAAACTCTAATAATCATTATTTCAACTTTGCTAATAGACTATCTTAGTATAACACTAGCTATGGTTTATTATTTAAAGCATCTGCATCTGTATTCAAGAGGGAAACTAGCTGAACGCTTTCATCTGTTGTACTGTCTGAGGTTTTATTATTAAGGTTATGTGAGCTTCACAAAATATACTTTGAAAATTTCTATCTTTGTCTATGATGTGGAATAGTTTAAATTGGAACTTTCAGCTCTTTATAGAGATTAGACAGAATTCAGATGTAATCTATAAAGACAGGTTTTTTATTATGCCTTTAATTTCTTCCATAGCTATTGGTCTGTTCAGGTTTTCTGTGTCTTGTGTTGTTCTGGTGTTTACATATGCAATTGTTTCATTTTTCAATATGTAGACCCAATAAGTAACTTTACATAAACGAGATAACATCTTTTCTGAAATTAAGTCTTTTCCTTTTCTTTCTTTGGTTCCATCTCTACCCTCCTTCCCTTTCCCTTCACTTTAGCACTCACCCCCCTCACGCCTAGTATATATTTCTCCGTATTTTTCTCTATGTTCAGAGTCCTATGTATACAAATATTTAATCATCATGTTTTACAAAATTGAACATAACACTTTCCTCAATTTTGTTTTTCTTGCTCAACCGTATCTTGCAGATATCACTCACATTCCTGGCATAATTCTAAGTAATTCTTTGTAACAGATTCATTCCATGGTATGAAGGTATCCTAATTTATTCTACTATTCTACTAATGATAAGCAATCACTTCATTCATACTTTGTTTCTATGGATTTGCCTATTTTAGACATTTCATATAAATGAAATCATACAAACTGTGAATCTGTGGCCTTTTGTGACTGGCTTCTATTACTAAGCATGTTTTCAAGGTTAATCCACGTGGTAGCATGAATTAGTACTTCATTACTTTTTGAGTAATATTCTACTGCACAGATACACCGTATTGCATCTATTCATCAGCTGATCGACGTAAGTTATTGCTTTCTGTACATGTAATTTGCATTTAGGCACTGTATCAAATTCTTTCAAACTAGAATATCTTGTGTTTTCTTCTACTACAGTTATATAATGAGAGGGAGAAAGATACAATGATTTCTTTCAATGTTTTATATCCATTACAATATCATTCTGCATTTGGTAGAACTCCTAACATAACACTGAATAAATACGAACAGAGCAAGTATCTCTCTAGTTGCTGATTTGTCACTCACAGATTAGGATACTTGCTATTAGTTTTATTTATTATAATTAATTTCCTTTTTGCTCTATTTTGTTAGAGTTCTTAGTAAACTTTGACTTTTCAACATCTTTTGATTATAATCATATGCTTTTTCTTCTATTATTTGCTAATGCGATATGATTTTCATACAAAACTATCGTCTCTTACTTGGAATAGATCTTATTTGGTCACAGTTTATTACTCTTTTGATATGGTGCTATAGTGTACTTTCTAAACATCTATTTAGAAATTCTGCCTATGCATTAGGGAGTTTGGGGGGATTACTATCTTTATTTGCTTTTGGTATTAAAACTATGCTGGCTTCACAAAATAGAGAGTTTGACTTAAAAAAAAAAGCCACCTGGAATTATTTGAGCACGCTCTAAAGGTTAGAAAGAACAGCTGTGAAGCTATCTTGTCACCGTGCCTTGGTAAATCTCTGATTAGCTTTCACACTTCTGTGGTAATTCAAATTTTCCTGTAATTTTTGGAACTTTCTTTAAGTTTTCTTTTGTCCCCCCCCAGGGTTATATATAAAATTTCATTATAATAGTTAATAATGAAGCAATACTTGAGCACTTACCACTTGCACTAGTTTAAGTGCTCAGAATGGATTAACTCTTAATTCTTTCAACATTCCTTATGAAACAGGTGCTATTTTCATTTTACAACTGAAAAAATTCTTAGAATGTTTCCTACATATAGAGATATATCTTTTTATCATTCCTACTCTTCTTTACATTTGTTCTTTTCTCTATAACCAAGCTCAGAAGAGGTGTGCCATCCTTACCAACTTTTCAAAGCACTAGGATTGGGTTTTCTTTGGGCTACTTCCCTTATTAAAAGAATAGATTTCCAAATCACTAATTTTAGTTGTTTGCCTGGTAAGTTCTTCATCCCAATTCCTTTTGTTTTATTCTGTAACATTTCACCCTAATTACTCAAGCAATTAGTGTTCATAATGAAGGTTTATAAAAATTTCTTGGAGAACAGCTTTAGCCTGTCCCACTGACTATGGTATGAAGATTTTTCCTTTACAAGCTTGCCTCAAATATTTCAGTGTCATTTTTTAAAATCTTTTTTTAAAACTTATGATTTACAGTTTTATCAGATTATGACCACAAAAAATATGGTCTGGAGAAACTTTTCTTTTTAAAACTTATTATGTGATTAATTTTTTTAAGTGTTCATGAACATAAAGGGAAAGAACATGGCTGAAGGAAGAAGGATGTCTGAGCAAAATCATATTTTCTTTCAACTATCAGTATACGGTACTTTCATTGTTTTCCAGCATCCAGTGCAGTACATTAAAAAAAAAAAAAAAATCAAACGCTAGTCTGATTTGATTTCCTTTCCTTTGTAATTTCTGCTGTCTATAAACTTGGAAGATTTTTTTCCCTTATCCTTAAAATCCAGAAACTTTATAAGAATATGTCTAGATTTGTCTTTTTTAAAATAATATTTATTTACTTATTTATTTTGGCTGCGCTGAGTCTTAGTTCTGGCATGCAGGATCTTTTAGTTGCGGCATGCATGTGGGATCTAGGTCCCCGACCAGGGAATGAACCCGGCCCCCTGCACTGGGAGCATGGAGTCTTACCCACTGGACCACAAGCGAAGTCCCTAGATTTGTGTCTTTTTTGACCTCAGAAAATCATACAATTTTGGTCTCAGGCTCTAAGGACTGGCAAACCTTCTTCTCAGCTAGTCCCTCAGTTCCTGGAAGGAACAAAGGGAAAGGAAGCTCTGTACCTGTCATCTCCATGGAGACCTAGAGAAACTTGTAATCAAAGATGCACCCAACTGTCTTGCCTACTGAATTACTCCAGAAGAAACCGGAAGGGAGAGGGAAACAGGAACACAGACTCAAACCACCAGCTGCCTGATATCCGCTATAAATCCTGTATTGGTCATTTTAAACCAACTATTACAATGAAGTCATTCTGAGCTTTCACAACCTTGATCCTAATTTTTTAAAGTTCAACCTTCTTCTAAGGAAGCTGTGTAGAATTTAAATTCTAATCCTCAATGAAGAATGATGAACTTACCTAAAATAGCTTCATTTTGGGTAAAATTGTTTCCTTTTAGGTAAAATTAAAAGAAATCTACAACAAAAAACAACCAACCTCAATAAACTGCTACCAACTTTCAGCATCTGTATTTCCTGGGCATTCTGTTACTATACCTGATCATGTATGTCAACCATTACTGCATTCTGCTGGGGTGGATGAGCAGCAGGGTGTAATAGACGGGGAGATACATTCGGAGGGTGGAAGGCTCGAGGTTCCTCTATTGCTTGCTGCTGTGCATAAGGGAGATGGTGATAATTTTCATCTTGACTAATGGAATTATGTCGAGACAGACGATCCCTTCTTCCTCTCTGGCGCCTGACAGGAGGACTGTAATACAGCAAAAATGTCAAAAAGGTTGTTATAATGTTTACTGTTGTGATCCATCAGGATTCTGTATTGTCTCTCGTTGTAATCCATTAGTAGTATATGCTATGGTAGGCTTGAGTATTAAAGAATTGCTGTGGTTCATCATCAGCTCTGAACACTTACAAATTTAAATAGAATGTATATGTTTTTAAAAATATAACAGAAGTAAACAAAATTGATATTCAGCTCTGAGATTATTTAGAAATCAATAGCCAATCACTGTCATTTTGGGGGAGGGGGTTTGATTGTATAAAATTGATCCTTTTATAGGCAAATATAGTCAAATATCAGCAATTTCATATGGTTTAACCTATTATTTTGCCTCCTTTATTTTTTAAACATTTTAGAACAAATTTTAATTTGCATATGTACCTTGGCCGTAATCCACATATGCCCAATGGGCATTTTATGTTTGTCTATCTGGCTAAGACACATAGAAAAGACATAGTTCCTATATGCCCAAAATGACAATTTAAAAAAATGAGAGTAGAAAATACATAAAATAACTAAAGAACATTTAATTTGTTGACAATTGCAAATAATCGAGTAATTGGGTAAATGCTGAGAATGGAAATGATGGCAAAATAGCGTCAGCATAAATGTTCCAGTAATATACAGAATTTTTAGGTAGAATCTGGTTACTGAAGGAAACCACTTTTACTCCCCATGCACTTGTCATGGACATAGTTTAACACAAATAACAAGTTATCATGAGTAGACTTCCATCTTCCACTTCCCTACAATTCCACAATTCAGCTCCACTGCTTTTTACAATGCCTCAGCACGCATAACAATTTGAAAAAGCAGCAGCCCTCATTAAAAACATACTCCACATTAGGCAAAAGAGGCCGAACAGCCCCCTTCAAGACACAGCTGCACACAGCCACCTCAGCAGTATTTACTGAGGACAGGTCACCTTTCCCTTAACTGTTGCACTCTGCACCTCTAAATCTGTTTCTTCACACTCTCAACTGCCCAATCTTAAAAAGAATAAGGGACATTCCTTTGCAACATCAACTCCTCTACAGTGCTCTTAAAACTAACCCCCAGGTTCTTGCTCCATTCATTGCTTCCTCTATCTTTATTTTCAGCATAACTCTTTTTTGCATTTCTGCTTCAAAACTGACATACTGTATTTCACTGATTTTCAGATGCCATCCACCTTCAAACTCACTTTAATGTTTTATTTTGAGATAATTTTAGTATAATTTTTGTGTACCCCTCACCCAGCTTTCCTTCATGTTAATATCTTCCATTAGCATAATTATCAAAATTAAGAAATAAACCTTGGTATCATACTGTTAACTAAACAACAGAATGTATTCACACTTTACCCAGTTTTTCTATCAATATCCCCTCACGGTCTAAAAATCCAGTGCAGGATCCCATTATTGCATATAGTGGTCATGTTTCCTTAGTCTTCTCCAATCCATGACAGTTCCTCAGTCTTTCACGACCTTGATACCTCTGAAGACATATGTACTCTGCAGAATACCCTTTAACCCAGATTTGTCTGATGTTTTCGCATGATCTGCATGACGTTATGCATTACTGGAAAGGCTATCACAGAGGTGATAGGCCCTTTTCAGTGCACTGTATCCAGGGGCACATGGCATCACATGCATCACTCATGCCTATGTATTTACCACCAATCACTTGGCTAAATTGTTTTCTGCCAAGACCCTCTACTACAAAATCACCATTTTTCCCTTTATAATTACCAAATACTTGGGGGGGAGATACTTTGAGACCATGCAAATATTCTGCTTCTGCTAAAAGTTTTGCCAATAACTTTAGCATGCATGAATGGACCTTCAGCTATCACTATTATGATATTCTAATGGTGATTTTCTACTCCCCTCATTTCTTCCACATGTATTAATTGGAATTCCATAAGGAAGAACTGTTCCCTCTCTCCCATTTATTTATTCACTTATTTATGAGTATGGGCTAATGGATATTATTTTATTCTTTAGGTTATAATCCACACTATTGTTTTATTTTGTTAAAATTGTTTCAACTTTGTCCAATGGGAGCACTTTCAGTTTAGCTCCTGTGCCCTTTTACTACTGTTCCTTACTATACGGACAATATGCTCTAGGCTTATCTTGTATTTTCCCTATACCAACTCTAGAATTAACCAGTTCTCCAGAGCCCTGGTTCCTTTGATTGTGGAATGGTATTTAGAAGGTAAGTGCGCTGACTGCTACACTATTTCTAGTCTCTCTAAGAGAAAAGAACAAGAAAATTTATGTATACTAATTCATGTATATGTATGTATCTTTATACCTGTAAAAATATTTTAAAGGACTGTTTAATGTGTCACTAAAAAGAGGAGGAAAGCTGCCAATTAGACTATGCTATACCATCAATTTAGAGACATTATGATGTGAAAAAATGTGTACCTTACAATCAAAATAGAAAATATATGCCCAGATCACTCATCTCCCAAAAAAACACTCAGCCTGTCCACAAACTTTAAGGGTCCCTTTTAATATTGTTTTATTCTGTTGTTGCTTCTTGCTCTCACTTCCCTACTCAAACATAATTTCAATAACTCAAACTTAACACAAATTAAGACCCAAGCTCTCACACTGACATGTAAGTTCCTTGACAATTTTGGTCCTTGTCTTTACTGAATTGCCTCTCATTAAATCTGTTATGTATGCCTTTGTAGTAGAACATTTAGAAAGCAGAATTATTGGAAAATCTAGAAATAATAAACAGTGATAAGATGGACAAATATTTCTTTCAGTTGACTTTTATATCTATGATAGGTACTACTTTGTCACTTTGCTTTAGATGTATCACTTGTGAACAGCACAAAGCTGTTCCCTCCTGGTCTCACTGACCTGCCTGCCTTTTGCTGGATTGCGTTTTCTATATATATTGTTTATCTGTTTCATTGTGTGGAAGCTATATATTCCAGTTCTATTCTTCTAGTGACTACACTTAAATTTTTAAATACATAATTCAATTTTTCTGAAAACATCTAGACTGCACATTTTTACTTCTCTCTGCTCTGTGCCCATTTTACATTCAGATCTTTCCTGAAATTTTTTCTCTTTTTTTGAACAATAGACCTTTATTCAGACTTAGCAGTATGTCTTTTTTGTTTCCTTTCCTAATCAAATGGTATTAAATCCTACTTCTTGCATTTACTCTTCCACTTCCTAGAGTACAGTATTTAATAATTCTTTCAAGGTGGTTCTCTTTTTTTTTCCTTTTATTATTTTTTTTAGTTGTAGTTGCTGTACAATATTACATAAGTTACAGGTGTACAATACAGTGATTCACAATTTTAAAGGTTATGTTCCACTTATAGTCATTATGAAATACTGGCTATACTCCCCGTGTTGTACAATAAATATATCCTTGCAGCTTATTTTATACCTAATTGCACCTCTTATCCCCTACCCTTACATTAGCCCTCTCCGTCCTCCTTCCCTCTCCCCACTGGTAACCACTAGTTTGTTCTCTGTATCTGTGAGTCTGCTTCTTTTTTTACATTCAACTAGTTAGCTGTATTTTTTAGATTCCATATATAAGTGATGTCATACAGTATTTGTTTTCCTCTGACTTATTTTACTTGGCATAATGCCCTCCAAGTCCATCCATGTTGCTGCAAATGGCAAAATTTCGGCCTTTTTTATGGCTGAGTAGTATTCCATTGTGTGGAATACACACACACACACACATCCTTTATCCATTCACCTGCTGATGGACACTTAGGTTGCTTCCATACCTTGGCAATTGTAAATAATGCTGCTATGAACACTGGGGTGCATATGTTTCTGAATTAGTATTTTTGGTTTTTTTGGATATCTACCCAGGAGTGAAACTGCTGGATCATATGGTGATTTTGTTTTTAGTTTTTTTGAGAAATCTTCATACTATCTTCCACAGTGGCTGCACCAATTTACATTCCCACCAACAGTGTATGAGGGTTCTCTTTTTTCCACACCTTTGCTAACATTTGTTTTTTGCGTTCTTTTCAATAACAGCTGTTCTGCCAGGTGTGAGGTGATATCTCATTGTGGTTTTGATTTGCATTTCCCTGATGATTAGCAATACTGAGCATCTTTCCATGTACCTGTTGGCCACCTGCACTTCCTCTCTGAGAAACTGTCTACTCAGGTCTTCTGCCCATTTTTTAACTGAGTTTTTTTTTTGACATTAAGTTGTATGAGCTGTTTATATATGTTCGATATTAACCCCATATTGGTCATACCATTTGCAAACATCTTCTCCCATTCAGTAGGCTGTCTTTTCATTTTGTTGATGAATTTTGTGCTGTGCAAAAGCTTTTAAGTTTAATTAAGTCCAATTTGTTTATTTTTGCTTTAATTTTCTTCTCTTTAGGAGACAGACCCAAAAAATGCTGCTGCAATTTATGTGAAAGAGTTCACCTATGTTTTCCTCTAGGAGTTTTATAGTATCTGGTCTTACATTTAGCTGTTTAATCCATTTTGAATTTACTTCTGTATATTGTGTTAGAGAATGTTCTAATTTTATTTTTTTACATGTAGCTGTCCAGTTTTCCCAGCACCACTTACTGAAGAGGCTGCCTTTTCTCCATTGTATATTCTTGCCTCCTTTGCCACAGATTGACCATACTGCGTGGGTTTATTTCTGGGCTTTCCATCCTGTTCCATTGATCTATGTGTCTGTTTTTATGCCAGTATCATACTGTTTTGACGACTGTAGCTTTGTAGTATATAGTCTGAAGTCAGGGAGCACGATTCCTTCAGCTCTGTTGTTTTTTCTCAAGATTGTTTTGGCCATTCAGGATATTTTGTGTCTCCATACAAATTTTAAAATTATTTGTTCTAGTTCTGCAAAAAATGTCATTGGTATTTTGATGGAGACTGCACTGAATCTGTAGATTGCCTTGGGTAGTATGGTCTTTTTAACAATATTAATTCTTCCAATTTAAGAACACGGTACATCTTTCCATCTGTTTTTGTCATCCTCAATTTTTTTCATCAGTGCCTTATAGTTTACCAAGTACAGGTCTTTTAACTCCTTAAGTAGGTTTACTCCTAGGTATTTTATTATTTTTGATGTGATGGTAAATGAGACTGTTTCCTTAATTTCTGTTTTTGATAGTTTGTCATTCACGTATAGAAATGCAACAGATTTATGTATATTAATTCTGTATCCTGCAACTCTACTGAATTCATTGATGAGCTCTAGTAGTTTCCTGGTGGCATCTTTAGGATTTTCTCTGCATAGTATCACATCATCTGCAAACAGTGACAATTTTACTTCTTCCTTTCCAACTTGGATTCCTTTTCTTTTTCCTGTCTGACTGCTTTGGCTACGACATCCAAAACTATGTTAAGTAAAAGTGGCAAGAGTGGACATCCTCGTCTTATTCCACACCTTGGAGGGAACGCTTTCAGGTTTTCACTGTTGAGTATGATGTCAGCTGTAGGTTTTTCATATAAGGCCTTTATTATGTTGAGGTATGTGCCCTCTATGCCCACTTTCTGGAGAGTTTTTAATCATAAATGGATGCTAAATCTTATCAAAAGCTTTTTCTACATCTATTGAAACGATCATATGGTTTTTATTCTTCAATTTGTTAATGTTGTGTATCACACTGATTGACTTGTGGATACTGAAAAATCCTTGCAACCCCAGGATAAATCCCTCTTGATCATGATGTATGATTCAGGGAGGATCTCTTATTGTTCAACATTCTTCATCTCTGAATGTTTGTGCATATTCTTAAATTTCACCAAGATCTTGCTCAACACTCAGTCTTTCTTCAATTTAAAAAAAAAAATTTATTTATTTATGGATGCACTGGGTCTTCGTTGCTGCACATGGGCTTTCTCTAGTTGCGGCGAGCGGGGGCTACTCTTCGTTGTGCTGCGCGGGCTTCTCATTGCAGTGGCTTCTCTTGTTGAGGAGCACGGTCTCTAGGTGCGTGGGCTTCAGTAGTTGTGGCACATGGGCTTCAGTAGTTGTGGCTCGCAGGCTCTAGAGCGCAGGCTCAGTAGTTGTGGCACACGGGCTTAGCTGCTCTGTGGCATGTGGGATCTTCCCAGACCAGGGCTCAAACCCGCATCCCCTGCATTGGCAGGCAGATTCTTAACCACTGCGCCTCCAGGGAAGTCCCTCTTCAATTCTTGAAAATGATTTTGTACTATTTCTGTCTAAATTGTTCCCTTCTATTGTTTCCACCTGGAAATATGATTAGACATATTCAGAACTGATGACTCTTGCCTATATTTAAATTTCTTTTCCACACTTTCCATTTTGCCCTTTTACACTACATTCTGGGAAAATTCCTTCACTTGACCTTCCAGGGACCAAGATGGTCTTTCTGCCTGTTTATTAATTTTACCAACTAAGATTTCCAGTGGATTTTTATGGATACAATCCCTTCCACTTCTCTCATGCTACACTTATTCTAAAATTCTATTTTGTTTACTCTCTTAATTGTTTTATTTCTTCTATTAATGGTTTCTTCAAGTTCTTTCTTGTATTGAGTTTCAGTGCCCTTCTTTCACTTTGCTGGCTTTCCTCAAATGTTTGGCTTTCCTCAAATGTTTGGGAGTGATGACAAATCACAGGACAGGGGTTATCAGAAGGAGGGTTTTTAATGCTATATTTTAACCTAGGTGTTGGGCACACCTGTGTGTTATCCTTTTAAGTGTACACTTGTTTTACAAGTTCTCCTGAATGTACGTCACATTTCACCATAAAGCAAAAGGAAAGATTATAGCAGGGGCTCAGGCTGTAACCTTGAAACAATCAACCTTATTTCCTCATGCTATTACATTTAACAGCTATAAAATATTTTACCTGGTTGGCATAACATTATTTTACTTAAACATCCCCATATAATTGGGTACTACTGCACCAGATAATGTAAAAGTCTTAGTGTGTCAACAGAATACAGCTCAGGAACAGGTTTATCTTGTCTCATTTGAAACAATGAATGATGGGTTTTAAGACTCGTTCAGTATTAGTTTCCTAGGGCTGCCCTAACAAAATACCACAGACTCACTTAAACAATAGAAATTCATTTTCTCACAGTCCTAGAGACTACGTCCAAGATCAAGGTGCCAGCATGGCTGGTTTCTAGCGAGAGCTCTCTTCCTAGAGTCTCCTCTTATAAGGACACTAATCTTCTTGGGTCAGGGCCCCATCCTTATGACCTCATTCAGCCTAAATTACTTCCTTAGAGGCCTCATCTCTAAATACATCCACACTGGGGGTTAAGGCATCAACCTATGGATCTTCAAGAGACACAAACATTTAGTCTGTAATACCACATCCTGGACATATAAACAGTTGTCTCACCCCAAGTATGCTCTATTTCCTTGGAAGAAGAAAGGTATAACCTCAGACAACTACTAAAGAGGAAGCAGCTCAGGAAATGTATTCCCCTGGGAAGGAAAGGCAAGGGGCAAGTCCTATATGGAAGACAGGACTGGAAGTCAAACTAAATTTCAGTCACTCTTCATATCACAGGCTCCACAATTTTAAAGAAACTTAATTAAGCTCCCAGTTGCCTTAGAGGATACAGAAGGAATATCTGGAGAGAGGTTATTCATTTCTAAGAATGGAGTGGATAACGCGCGAAAAAGGGGTTGCTCATTCCTAAGACCATAGTTCTGTATTTCCTTACAGTTGTAAACTATAAAATGCATTTTTCAGTAACATGGATTGAAGGCTAGCCCACAAAAAGTCTTAAACCTTAAGGTAGTTGAATTCACATATAATGGTACGGATTGATTTTAGGTAAACCACTTTAGCCTCTTTCAATTTCTTCTTCTGTCAGTCACAAGCTAAATGAACTCTCATGATGGACTGTAGAAATCTAAACAACTTGTAATGTTGTTTCTCGTATGTAAGTGTACAAGTAAAAAGGTGTTGATGTGTTTATAAAATTCCTACAGAAAAAATGCTTTCTGATGTTAAAAAAAAATTCACAAATCTACCAATGACCACAAATTTAATAAGTAACTGTAACCAACTAACCTTCTTCTGTTGCGTGCAGGTGTGTTGCATCGTTCCCCTGAGAAGTGATGTTGGCTTGGTCGAACTGAAGGGGGCTGCCTATTTGATGTCATCTCCCATGGTCGCATTGGTGGTGAGGGAGCTGGTGATGCTGATGTATAATCAAAGACTGAATGAGAGAGGCGCTGTCTCTTGGGACTTGGACTATCTTCACTCTGCCAATGCAACAAAATCAATCAACTGAATAAAATCTTTTAAGGATTTTTGCATTACTGTTTACATGCACAGGTGTTTAAGTATGTTTACCACAAAGTGTAAAGGAGGGAAAAAATACACCATCAACCTGAATTAAATACCTTTAAAAGATACGAGGGGTGGGGTGGGAAAGGGAGATACACAGTAAATAATATCAAATGAAAAGTTAACTTTTCTTTAAAATATCGTAAAATTAAGCAGGTAACAACACACAGGGTACACAATAGGGCAATAAACAATTTCTATGGTACTTGACCATAATTCATAATTCAACTGAGAAAATCTACTATGTCCTCCCATCAGTTAACAGTTACTCTTTTAGGCATTAATTCTTAGCTGAGAGATCAATTTATGAGGGGGTATAATTTAAGTAGGCCCTTGATTTGATTTAAAATCACACTTGCCTGCCTCTTTATTTCTGTTATTTAAGGCCATTACATTTATTATTTAATAATGTTTATGTGGACAAAGTAAAATTTATTTAAAACATTAAAATACAGTCAACTGATCTAGTTCATCAGTTCTTAACTAGAATATCATAGAATATCTTTGGGAAAGACATGGCATTTCTGGTAGATCATGGGAGTGGTAGATAATTAAAAACCCATACCTGTTAATGTTGAAGCACAGTCTCAAGTTTTCAAGGGTTTAGCTATAAAATTGGTATGGATCACTTAATTGAATTATTAACTCTCCAGGATTCCCCACACAACTCAATTTTCCAATTAAGTCTCTCATCAAAACTGTCAAAATTACAAGTTAACTGAAAGTCTGATGAGGGCTGTGTGTTTTCTAATAGAGCCTCTCCTATCTCCAGTCTACTCCTGCAAATTCTAATCATTTGGGCATTAGGGAACTTTTGATTGGCACCTGCTGCTAGAACAAAAATGTTAATATTAGCTAAAGAATATATGAGGTTACACACTATGTTAGATTTTAAAATATAAGCATATAAAACAGAACTGATTAAACTGATAGGAATGAAGCAAACTGCTAAATGGTTACTTTTGATCATTCTAAATTATTTAGCAGATGTATTCAAAAAACCATGTCATTTTCCTTCTATGCTTAAGAATATTATAATTCACATGTTATAACTAAAATAGAAAATAGTTTTCAGAACCATATACAAATGTTCTTGTAACTTTCCTCACACTAACCTTATTTTCTCCCTATATTTAATGGTGCTATTAAAAGTAGTTGTTTTTAACCCCTTGATTTTAATAAGAAAATCAGTTATGTTCTGATAATCCTAAAACTTAGTGAAAAATAACCATTAATATTTAGATATTCTGATTAAAACAAAACAACAGAACAACTAAGACTTGACAAACTCATACATGAACTACACATAAGCATTAGAAATGTGATCTCCACGTGTGGTAAAACTGACTTTATTAACATTGACTTTTTGAGGTACAATATGCTAGCAACCAACCATAATCATTGGCTTTCATATGTATAAACCTGTACCGCAAAGCTTGATGCAAGCTAAGACACGGAACTCTGAATTCTAAAAATTCACTGCCCAAATGGAGGAGAATGCTACAGATCCACAAAATAACTAAGTATTGAAAAAACACTTAGGCTATCAACCTTTACATATTTTCAGTGATGTTCAGGTTGTGGGTTAGCATATTCTTATTTTACAACAAATCATTACTTTTAAGAGAGGAGATAAGGAAAGATGACTGAGAAAGTTTCCCACACCTTCTCTTTGTGTTGTGAAAGGTTCTCAGTGTGTAAGAGAAGACAAAGACTAGGAAGTGGGGCTTCCCGGGTGGCGCAGTGGTTGAGAGTCCTCCTGCTGATGCAGGGGACACAGGGTCGTGCCCCGGTTCGGGAAGATCCCACATGCCGTGGAGAGGCTGGGCCCGTAAGCCATGGCCACTGAGCCTGCGCTCCGCAACGGGAGAGGTCACAACACTGAGAGGCCCACAGCAGAAAAAAGAAAAAAAAAAAAAGACTAGGAAGTGAAGGGAAATATGTGGAAGTGAGCTCTTCATTAGTATTATGGTAATAAGCCTTACTTTTTCACTCAAAGTAACAGGAAACCACAACTGATATTTAGCGACACGGGATTACTAAAAGGTTATTTTACTATATGCAATATGGTTTCATCATATTCCTTATCAATTTTAATACTCTAAGGAACTGCATTAAAAATTCTCAGTTTCCAGAAAAAGAAAGGGGGAGCAACCTACAAAGAAAAAGAATTAGATTAGCATTAGACTTCCCACAGAAAACAAAAGATGCTAAAGTGCTCTGGGGGAAAATAATGTTGAATCTAGAGTTTCATACTCCAATCAAACTATTAATCTAGAATAAGGGAAAAAACAAAGACCTTGCCAGATGTATTAAGATTCAAAGTTGCCTTCTCACATATCTATTCAGAAAATTTTACTTGATTGATTTTTACGTATGCGTGCATGCTCTCTCCTTCACCTGGGGACATATATATAAATACAGGATCCAAGAAATAGAAGTAACCCAGAAGTGCAATGAAAAGAAATCCCAGGGTGATGGCAGTACAGCAGGTCTGAAAAACAATCATTACAAATTAGAACGAATCAGAGGACTCTGAGAAAAATACCATACACAATGTGGATTCAAAAACAGTATGATTGAGAACTTACAAGTTCTTAATAAAACTTAAGCCCACAGCTCTCTTATCATAAGAAATATAAAAAGGCAATCAGGGACTTCCCTGCTGGTCCAGTGGTAAAGAATCTGCCTTCCAATGCAGGGGACGCGGGTTCAATCCCTGGTCGGGCACCTAAGCCCGCGCACCTCAACGAGAGAGCCCGCGTGCCACAAACTACAGAGCACACGTGCTCTGGAGCCTGCGCGCCACAACTAGAGAGAGAAAACCCGCACACCACAACTAGAGAGAAGCCTGCGTGCCCCAATGAAGAGCCCACGCGCTGCAACGAAGATCCCACATGCCTCGATGAAGACCCCGTGTGCTGCAACAAAGACCCAATGCAGCCAAAAAAATAAAGAAAATAAATATTAAAAAAAAAAAAAAGGCAGAGAGTGGAGGACAAAGATGAAAACAAATCCGTATCATTTTGTCACCTAAAGCATCCTCTGAGTAGGACAGGTAGTCAAAAGATTATAACTCCTCCTCCATGGGCCAAACATGCTACTTGGTTCTGCAATGACTATACAAGTATCCTAATACTATGAAGAATGTTTACTGGTTTTCAATTATTATAATCAACATAGGACAAGGCATGAAAGATCACTGCTGTAGTTACAGAACAGAAATAAGTATAAATAAGTAAAATAAAATAAGTATTTTTGACATAAAGTAACTATAACGACTTCTGTGACAAAATCATGGACTAAAAGTGAAAATCCTAACATAAACATCTAGAAATAATGGTTTAAATACAAAAAAATTTTTTTTAAGGTATTGCTGGATTCGGAGAAATTTCCAAGGACCAGAAACAAAGAGGAAAACTGAAAACCAGGTTTGTTTTTTGATATTCGCAGGAGGGAGAGAAGATAAGGTCTTATCACTGAGACCCCTGCATAAGGCCAAAATTTCCAAAGTACTATGCTTTCAATAAAAGGGAAGACTAGAAGAAGTCAGCCATTGGCACAGAGTGTCTACTCTGTATGTACTGAGAACTGGAGGAGGGATCACATCCCTGAGAACTCAAACCACAGGTTAGCTCCTCACACCAAGGCTGGGGTTCAAACTTTTCACTACCCATGTTGTCTGTGAACCTCTAAACTTAGAAATTAATATAAAAACTGATCTAGAATTACGCTACCACGACTCTTGACAGAAGTAAATGCAAAGCAGAATCTGGAGGAATACTCCCATTACCTAGGCCAGTGGTTCTCAAACTTTTGCATGCATCAGAAACACCAGATTGTTTGGTCCACTCCCCAGTCTCTGATTCAGACAGTTTGGATTGGGACCCAAGAATTTTGCATTTCTAACATGATCCCACATGATGCTTGGTATTGCTCGTCTGGGACTACACTCTGAGAACCACTGAACTAAGAGATAAGGGACTCTCTTAAGAAAAGTCCCTAAGGATAAATTCACCATTACAGAAAAATTTATGTTTTGAAATCTCAGGGGGGAGCAGTTCCCTCCTGTCCCTGCTGACTCTGTGCCCGTAGGCTGACTTTAGAAAGTACCAGATGTTGACAACTTAAACCTGTAAGATGTTGAGTGAAGTCAGGTACTAGTACTGTCTCTACTGGTACAGAATACTGTAGAGATATTACAGTACAGAATACGGATGCAGATGCAGGGATCAAGGGAGGAAGAGAGGGAGGAAGGACAGAAGAAAATTAGCCAGCTAGCTTTTATACTCAGTATTCAGCATCTGATAAAATGAGTACAGGATTACACCTCTGTAACACCAAATCTTTATAACCAAAACATCATTATTAGAAGTGAAAACAACCCATAAGAAAGTATTCCATGGTTTCGAAAAAAGCAAATCAGAAATGATTAAATGCTAAATACCATGGGAGAAAAAACAAACACACGTGCATATGTATAAACACACACACATAAAATATAAATAATATTTATATATATGTCAGTCAGGAAGTCTTGAAGATAATGCAAACTTTCCCCAAAGCATAAACAGGTTTCAAGTTCTAGATTAAAAATGGTGATTGAAAAGTGCCTCTGATTTCAGCAAACACTAGTGAGCCCCAAAGACTTCTCAAAGGAGCAAGGGGGCAACTAGAGTCGGGGAGGTAAAATCTCCAATAACCTGGTCCGCTCTCCCCTCATTATTCAGGACTACCATTCACCTCAGATTTACAAATAAATAAGCATAGCATGATTTATGAGTTCCCAATCCTCTTTTAAACTTCCAGACTCTATTTGCCTTATTCTATCTGACAAAAGATTAAGTTTCTCATTCCACAACCATTACATTTAAATGGCCCAGGAGAGGAAATACTTAGTGAATTCCATTCATTT